TGAAACAAATAATACATTATATGTTTAAAAAAAAAAAAGAAGAGGAAGAAAAAGATAGTAGGAAGGGAAAAATGAAGGGGGGGAAATTGGAGGGGGAGACAAACCACGAAAGACTATGGACTCTGAGAAACAAACTGAGGGTTCTAGAGGGGCAGGGGGTGGGGGATGGGTTAGCCTGATGATGGGTATTAAGGAGGGCACGTACTGCATGGAGCACTGGGTGTTACATGCAAACAATGAATCACGGAACGCTACATCTAAATAAATACATAAAAACATAAATAAATAAGGATGCTAAAAATGCTTGCAAATACATAGCTTTCCCCCAATAAGCTAATGAATTACTGTAGATAGAAGTTATGAAGGATCTACTTTGATAATTAGATAGGAGTGCCTTCTAATTATTAGACGCAGTTCTTAAGCAAATTCTAAAATGCTCACAAGTATGTTCTCCTGTTGAAAAACCTTCAACCAATCACCACTTCTGAGCACTTCTCACGTGCTGATCCCCGGCATCCAAATACGGCCGATAAGGCCACCATCCCCCTGCTTTGCGCAGCCTCTTAACGCTGATGGTAAAGAAGCATCAGCTGCTCTCAGCAGCACTGCGAATGAATGAGGTCCACTGCATGACTGTTTTCCCCTCTGAGTTAAGGAGCCCTCACTCATAAAAGACTAATGTTTAAAAAAAAAAAAAAACTATTTCAGACTAGCCAGTCTCACTTCCTCCTTCAAAAACCCATCTTAATCCGGACAGATAAGTTCAGACCCTGGAATCCAGCGCATCACAGAGGCCAGGAGAACAAGATGCTGGCAGGTAGCTCTGTCCTCAGAAACAGCATCACCAGGACAGCACTTTCCGGAACCCTCGGCTGTATTTAATGATCTCAAGAAGCACTAGCAACACTTCTTCCTGCAAACAAAAGGCACCCACACTAAGGCTAAGAGAGGCTTCCAGAAGAAGGAAAAGGAGCAGGAGGTCTCCGGCCAGGGCTGCTCCTGCAGGGCTGAGCCAGTCTCTTTTTGCAGGCACTGATGCACTTAGAAACAATGTCCCCAAATCCTTCCATCAGGAAAGGCCTGTCTGACTGCTGCTGAGTACGCAACCTGCCATGACCTGGGGACCCAAGGGCCAGGGTCAAGGTGACAGACCCACGCCAGTTCTGCCCAGTCCAAATTCTTTCCGATGGGTGAACATTCACTTCCCAGCATCCCTACCATTGTACGCCCAGCGGCTGTGGTTTGAGTCATGACATCTAGAGGAAATGAACACAACCTTGGGCAGATGCCAACATGCCGCCAACCCAAACGCCCCATCTACCGTGGCAGCGTGAAACCAAAACAGGACATGTCGTGTTAGACCCAGGCCAGGATGTAAAACCGTATGTGCAGGTTTATTGCTATCGAATTTAAAGAACAGGAAATCAGTTGTAAATCTGTAACATCAAAGTTAACCTCATCTGTGTCTCCAATGCTGGGGCGATAAGGCTGATGGAAAGGGGTGCACCCCTGTCCGTGGCGTCTCCTGCCCCCATGCCCCCCACCCAGGGCTGCAGCCACCAGCCCTGCCCGGTCCCCACCAGGACCCAGTGTTGGCCTGGAGGGCTGCCAGTGGAAGTTGTTCTTGCCACGGTAGCAGAAAGAGAAAACAGACTGCAACAGCAGAAGTACGAGAATAGATAACAGTAGAAATATCACCAGTGGAAAAAGAGAATTAGTCTTGTCTTCCCTCAAACCCAACTTTTCCTTGACACCCTCCCAAGCCACACTCATCACACCATCCCTAGCTGCCCTACCGCAGGGCAGAACCACCAGCATCCCCAAACTACTGCAGGAACCCCTCTCCTGACTCACTGGAAAAGACATATGGAAAGCAGAATTACCTTTATTAAAAATGTGTGACATCCTCCAAGCCCTAAAAAAACATTTATGCCCTTAGCACACTATACATTCAACACAGGTATACAACCAGACAGCGTACTTACAGCTGCTCTCTCCAGAATACCATAGATAAATACTTCAAGAATTTAAAATTCTGCTTAAACATACATGCTTGTATATATACATATATATACATGTGTGTGTGTAACTAAGATGAAACCAAATAGTTAAGTCCAAACATTGCAACTTGGATTCTAAGCCAAGAAAGTTGAACTCAACCTAATGAATTCCCAGAGGAAAGAGGTATAGAAAGCCACATGGAAAAGGTTATGCTGGAAAAAAACATCTTTATCACATGACTTTGCTTGGCTGCAGAGGAAAGGAAGGAATGTGTGCTTGATAACATTTACACTTACAAAGCACCCTTTCTCCGTGGGTCTCCGTTTTATGAGCAAGCGCCAAGTCAGCAGGGCAGAGGCAAGAGCGCAGACCCTGGAACTGCCAGACCACTCAGGACCATCCCTGCCTCGGGAGTCAGCAGCAGGAGTCCCCGCGGTAGCCTCCAGGATGGAAAACCCAAGCCTGGAGGTGGGCTCTTCCAACTCTAAGGGAAACCTGCCTGAATCTCCTCCCCCAGGAAGCCTCCCACCATCTCGCTCTGCACAGATGTCTTCAGGAGCAGGGAAATCAGGAAGACAGCATCCTTTCACTTGCTCATGGCTCTGGTCACTGCTGTACTTTTAATTCAGAATCAACTTGCCTCCCAACTATTAGTGCCGTCCTAACCCCTGGGGAACCAGACTTCAGCGCCCCTTCCACAAGACTGTTGTTCACTGCCACCTCACTCCTTGTCTTCTCCAAGCTAAATGTTCCTAAATGCACACCATACAGCATGGCTCTAAACCCTCCTGCTGTCCTATGGCCCCAATTCTTAGGCCCCATCATGGAGACACAAACACAAACCATCACCAGCCTCCACCACCAGAAGGCAGCGGGTGGGGGGGGGGGGCGGTTCAGAGCCATTAAAATAGGCAGGGAACGACTTCCCAAAGCATCCATTTTAACAAACAAATTTTACATTAAAAAAATAAATACAATAAAAAAATAAACCAGATACACATCACATATGGAGTCGAGTACATCTCTTTCAAACAACATGCCAGAAGGAGACAGCTTCAGACTGTGATTCATAATCAATCCCAGATGCTCGCTCTCCTGAGAAGACGTTTTCACTCCCCTCCCCAGTCAGAGATACTTCAGGTCGACCTATTCGAGAATCCCCACCTTGCTGACTAACAGGGCTCCTGCACTATGGTGCCCCCAAAGACAGAAATGGCCAGCTCCACCCCGGGCAGAGGGAGGAGAGGCTGCTGGGGCCGTAGAACCCGGGACAGCTGGAATGAGGTGGCCAAAGATCACATTCACTCTTTTAAATCCCATTTACTTTTATCTTGACTTCGTCACATTGGAAACGCATCCAAGGAATGGCCTACAAACCCCCCCCCAGATCTTCTTGTAATGCTCGGCAGCCCATCTCCCTATCTTGTACTTGGATGGTTATTTGATTATTAAACCTAAGCATAACTTATCCCTTCAAATTGTATCTTGCTAGATTCGACCCCTTATTCCAACTCTCCAAATCTCGCCCGTCTTTCGGTGTAAGAACCTGCCTCCCCAGGATGCCCAAACGAGAGGCAAGCTCTTGGGCATTCCTCAGCCACAATGTATCACAAGCTGGAAAAGAGGACTGGGTCTTGGGTTTTATAAACCCTCCAGTTTGCTAGGGAAAGGTGTCACTTAAAAACAAAATGCCTTTCAAAGTGCATCTTTCCCAGACAGGCTTCTGGATTATTATGAAATGGCACCAGCTCCCCAAGGCTGGGGTGGGGGCATCTCACCATTTCTACTGGGGGGGGGGCGCAAAAAAAGCAAGGAAGGAGCCCTGTAGGAGGGCTCCAGGCCTTTCACACATACTGTCTGCAGATAGGATTCCCATTTCTGCTTTCCCCCAGGATAGGGAAGGCTGTCTCCCAATAATGAGGCTCGGCTTTGAACACCACACTCCGTTCCTCTGACTGGGTCCCAAGATGATTGTGCAGACATGCCAGAGGCTGTGAGGCTACTCTTCCTGCTTGCATCTGTGTAAACTATCTTTACATCTGTATAAATCCACACTGTACTGACTTAGAGCCTCGCTCCTCCTCAGGACATTTAGATCCCTTCCAATCTATACATCCGCAATGAGCAAGGCAATTTTAATTTTTAAATGGCAATGCCTACAAGAAACTTTCACCATCTTTACAAAACAAATCCTTACTCCTATTTCCTTTACATTAAAAAAAAAAGGCATTTGTTTGTGATCATAACAATTAGACTTTCTTAGTTTACAAAGGTCAGAGGACACAAATCAGATAATCCCGATGTTCTTTGTTGTACAAGCTGAGAAGGATACTTGTGAAGAACAGGATACTCAGGATCTACATTTGGTTACTTATTTGGAATATTTTTACCTCCAGATGCAGAAAAAGTATTAAAGAATGGTACGGAAATACCTATAAAATGATAAGCTATAACTATTAAATTCAATCACTATGTATTAGAATGAATACTATATATGAATATTACATAAGCCGTATTATCCAGGTTTGAGAAAGTATCTGTAGCAAAGCATGCTGGGAGATTTTGTCCCAAATCCCTTCACTGTTTTAAAGATTTATTTACTTATTTATTTGACAGAGAGAGAGCACAAGCAGGGGGAGTGGCAGGCAGAGGGAGAGGGAGAAGCAGACTACCCGCTCAGCAGGGAGCCCGATGCGGGGCTCGATCCCAGGACCCCGGGATCATGACCTGAGCCGAAGGCAGTCGCTTAACCGACTGAGCCACCCAGGCGCCCCTCAAATCCCTTCACACACTGACACAAATTAACCCTGGACTGACTGGCGCCTCCTAGGAGAGGGGCCAGCTGGAAAAAATGATTCCAGTGGCCCCCTTGAGTCAACAACGCACTGACCTTTCAGTGTTACCCAGTACTGTTTCCACTTCCTCCGGGCCACCAATTCAAGCTTCCTTTCCTTCTGCAAAGTGACAAGGGGTTTGAAGAACAGCCATCCAGCTTTTCGGACCACCCCTTGCTCCTTCTCGAAGAGCAGATCAAGTTGCTCCAAAGAGCTGAGGGACCCGCTGCTGGAGTCTGCGGTTTCTGTGGACGTTTCTACATTCTCTGTGTTGGTCCTGCTCATTTCTAGCTCCCGCATGAAATTCTCGTAAATGTTCTGTTGGAGGGGATCACTGCCAATCGCATGAGCGGATTCGCTTCTCTGGGACAGGATCTGAGCTGAGCCCCCAGACCAAGGTGAAGGAGACACCTGGAAGGGCCCCTGCGCGTCCACATTCAGTCCATCTGAGCGGCTGTCAAAGTAGTCACTGCCTTCCTTGGACCTCGGTTCCTGTGAGCAATGCAGATGACCACCCATCAGAGGTTACGTACATCCAAAGCATCCCTTCCCCAACCCTGCAAATGTATCATACTGTCGGTTGCTAATGCTGCTGCCGAAAAGCAAGATTCTTTTAACAAAAATGCATCTTCAATCATCAAGTCACCAAACCAGAAAGAACTAGAGAAAGAGTGTTGCCCAACCCAATCTACAGCCAGTGGAGTCAATGCTTAAAGATATGAACCAAATACTCCTGACTATCAAGAAATCAACTAGCATATTTATAACACATCAGTGAAGATTTCTAGGCTGACATTGCTTTGCTAACTGTGAGTCAGGGTCTTCCTAGAAGGAATTCATGCTCTTGCAGTCTGTCTTCCTCCTGGATCCTTTTAAAGCTAAGGTAGAAAATCTCTAGTTACAGGGTCAAGGCGGGTAGGGAATAGGAACTAGGGTGCTGTTAGGTGTTGTTATGCAAACTTCTCTTCCTCTACCCAAAACAGTCAGTCCCCAGCTTTTCCCTACCTCCACCCATATCAAGACTTGAGGATCTCTAGCATCTTATTTTCCTTCTTCACAGAGTAAAAACCATGCACCTGGGATTCTTCATCTACAAAAAGTATTTGCTAGTAACTGTTTTTCATAAATACTATTTTTTTTTTAATTTGGGAATTTCTTCCGTAAAAAGAATATATTCATTCACTCACATCCTTTCATTTGAACATCTATTTTATTCTAGGCATTGGGGATACCAAAGACATGATTCTTAACTTCAACGTGTACTACAACATAAAATCAGGCATAGGCAGCTCTAAATAAAATTAATATTTTATAATAATGGCTGCGCCCTATGAAACTACAATGCACTGACAGTCAGTGGCCATGCAGAAAGCTGGAAACATGGACTGTGTCCTCATTTAGAGAAGGCTAGTTATTTGAGAAGAGTAACTTTCAGACTGGCCATTCACCGGTAAACATCAGTAACTACATTTTCCAGCAGAAGGTGAGCCTAATTTGAGACTCAAAAGACACTAACATTCCAAATTTAGAGCTTAGACTAAGGTAAGTCTGCAGAGCGGTGCTAAGCACACACATCCACTCAGCTGCTAGTAGGCTTTCCATTATATTGCCTTACCCATTAAAATAAAAATGAGGGGAAACTGAGTCAAGGACCACCAACCAAAGGCCTTATTTTGAATATTCCACTGTGTGGAGGGGTTTTCCTTCCAGACATTCCATCCAGAAATCCGGTAGCAAGTATTCGCTATCTTTTGTAGGAAAATCATCAACTGGAGAGTGCTTCCAAATACCCAGGGGGGCTATAAACAACAGGGGCTATAGCCCCAAGCACAGCTATTACTAACAAAAATATTATTTTCCACTTGCGTTTACACTATGTCCTGTAGTCCTATTTATTTATCCACAGATGCTTATGCAAGAACAGAGCAAATAAGCCAGCTGTGGTGAGTCACTTAGAGAAGAAACTTTCAAAATAGTGTAAGATTTTTTTGTCACTTTGTTGCTCTTCAAAAACTCCTAAGAGGTGAAGGAATACTTCTCATTTAGCTAGCATTAACATCATTTCAGCTATGAATATGACTCTGACTCACAGCCCCCAAACACTGGGATGCCTCAGATACCCAGCACAAGCTATAATGGGGTGTTTCAAAACAAGCCAAACTACCAAAGACGCTCAGGTGCCAAACTTAAATGTGACCTATAAACATTCTTGACAGTGTTTCTCATAACAGAGTCTTCCAGTTGTGGTTCTAGCACTGACTTTTAAATGTTCCACCATAGCAAAGCACGACAAATTTTCCTCTGCAAGAAATGGGAAAATATTGCATTTTAGCATTTATAACTGGGTCTTAGACATGACCTTTCCCAGTTTCTAACACATTTCTAAAGCTTTCTATGGAGAATCCTAATAGCCAGTGACTGATTTTCAGGCTAACAGGAAGGAGGGAATGGACGTCCATCCCTAAATCAGCTCAGCTAGATTTCCCGATCACCGTGCTATGGGAGTGAAACCAAGGAGCTGTGTTATACGTGTACACAAAGCAGTCTGATTTCCGTTTCTCTGCCTGAAACTGGATAATCCTAAGCAATGGATAATTTGACTTCATGACCAGGACACTAGAGCAAAGAGGAGAGAGAGGGTCTCAAGAGAGTTCAGTCACTCTTGGGAGCTAAAAGAAAACTCCTGATCATCATCATTCCTCACTTTCCAGGTAAATGTATCAAATTCACACCTTGACATTCTTCACATGCCTTTTTCCTTCATCCCACAGTAGAGACCACCAGCTCTCTGTGACCACGCAGCCCTCAAAGAGCTGTGAGGTCTAAAATTAAGAGGGCCCAAAGGCTAGGGTCTCTGCATCCTGAATGTTCTCTGTCACTGCTGCCCACCAAATATGCCTGGCCCTCCACCTGGGCCCAGGGCAGGGTCATTCCTTCTCCCTCTCCCTCCCCTTCCTTCTGAGTTAGGTATGACCATGCGACTTGCTTTGGCCAATAAATGTGAACAGAAGTGAAACATGGAAGCTTTAAAAGCCAACACACGATTTTCTTTCTCCTTCTGCTGTCATGGCTTGTGGTGTTCCAGCTGGAACTGCTCTGTGGCCCTGGGGTCCCAGAGAGGAACAATGCAGACCAGAGTGACAGCATGGGAAAGAAATAAACTTTGCTCATGCTAAACCTCGGACATCTGAGAGCTTTCTGTTACCTCAGCACAACCCAGCCCACCCTGATAGAACTGAAAGTTCACCCAGGACAGGAACAAGGACTCACAGTACAGCTCCATTAATATGAAGGGTTTATTGGCATCAAACACATACTCCTCTCTAGCACATTCTCTCTCTCTGATTAGTTTGATATTCTTTTTCAGTTGTGTATGTTTTTTCACTAATGTATCTGCTTTTAGGGTCTAACTCACCCAACTGGTTGAAAGTCCTAAGAAGAAAGGGTTGCTCTTTTTATATCACTTCTTAAAAGTCATAACAACTAAATCTACCCATCATGGTAAGGGTTTCTGGACCTTGGCCCTGCCGGCAGACAGAAGTTTATGTGCATGTGCATGCGAGAGAATATGCATTCATTTGGTGCCAATATTATGATACACTGTCAGAGGGGATGCCTGGGTGGCTCAGTTGGTTAAGTGTCTGCCTTCGGTTCAGGTCATGATCCCAGGGTCCTGGGATCGAGCCCCACGTCGGGCTCTCTGCTCAGCGGGGAGTCTGCTTCTCCCTCTGCCTGCCGCTCCCCCTGTTTGTACTCTTTAAAACAAATAAAATCTTTTTAAAAAAAAATACACTGTCAGGACGCCTGGGTGGCTCAATTGGTTAAATGTATGCCTTTGGCTCAGGTCACGATCCCAGGGTCCCGGGATCAAGTCCCGCATCAGGCTCCCTGCTCAATGGAGAGCCTGCTTCTCCCTCTCCCTCCGCCTGCCACTCCCCCTGCTTGTGCTCTCTCTCTGACAAATAATTAAATAAAATCTTTTAAAAAATTAAAAAAAAATACACTGTTGGAAATTTTGCTCCATGCACTGACTACATTTTTAAGGATCTAAACCTGATCTTTGCTATAAATCATGAAAGGAAAACAAAACAAACAAACAAAAAAAGACCAAAACAAGGGGCATACTTGCCAGAAAAATTCACCTTGCTCACCTTTATAGATTATCAATTGTGGGTACATAAGCAAAACTAAAAAGCTGCCTTCATAGGACATTGTTTAAAAACCCAAAGCAGTTTACTTTAACATTCAATAGGCCCAAAGTAATTACCAGTGGCTATCAACAATATCTGGGCCACGTGTCTAATTGCAAAAAGCTCACGTATGAGGTTTAGCAGAAATGACTTTGGCCCTGGCTTCTCCACCAACTAGCCATGAGTCTTCAGGGAGGACCCTCAAATTCCTTAAGCCTTACTTTCTTCATTTTTAAAATGCGGGGGAAGTCCTTTCCAGCTTTCCAGTTCAGATTCTTTGATTATATAATCAGTCTGTTCTTAACTCCACAGGCTTACAAACCATTCAGAGCGAAGTCTCTGGATGATCTAAACTTGAAGGAGGTCACCTCCCATGGGGGCAGTGAGGGCCTCAACGGGACAGAACACAAGTCAATACACAGTGACTACTGATCTGCCTTTAGCCGAACTGAACCTGAATGAGACTCGGTACAGCAGTGTGTGAGCCGGGCCACAAACGCAGACAGATGAGAAACATCCTCTATGCAAACAAGAGATGTGGAATAACCAGCTCAATGCCAGGATCAATTAGGGACTAAACTAATGTAAAGTAAATGGTTGAGTATAAAAAAGTGAGGGGTAAGGAGTCAGCAAATTACTACATTCCGGGATACGAAGAGTTCCGTGGCAGGATGGTGATCATCTGTTCTTTACCTCTGGGTAAAGGGGTAGCCAAGGGCAACAAAGCACAACACGCGAGGGGTGTTGGTGGTGTACCTCATGCACAAGAAGGAAATAACTAATGGTAAGTTTTATAGATCTGACACAATCTACTCAGGGAAGTCATATTCTTGTTCACCCCTAAAGCGCTATATAATTTTGTAATTACGTATCTATGTAATAACCTATGTAAAGGGAAGGAACCTTCCCTTCCACCCTAAAGTTTACTCACCTGAAGCCTATTATCCATAGGATGGATGAAATGCAGTTTTACTAGAGACAAACTGCCCACTCAAATTCTCTTCAATAATGTGACTTATACTGTGCAAGCTAAAAAAAAAAAAGCTTTCTTCCTTCTACAAATAACTAAAAGCAGAAACAAACAAAACAGAAAAGTCAAAAGCAAAAGAACTAAAAACCTAGCAATTGCCACTAGTTACCTAAAAAGGCAACCTATTACTCTCCTTCCCGGTGACTAAGCCACTTTGTTTCCCCATTACAACTTTATACATCATTATTATGTATAAGTATTAACATCATCACAATTCTTATTTTGTCAGGCATTATATTTTTGCTATTACATGTTCTTGGGTACAAGATGTTTTCAAAACTGTTTGCTATCCCCATTGGAAGATGGTGAGATAATTTTTTTTTGATGTACCAAAAAAAATGTTAATTTCCCCAAAGTGATGTCAAGTTCAGGAAGGCGACTCATCCCAAAATAACAACGGTCTATCTCCCCTTTTTGTTTAGGCTTCAAGAATGAGCTCTAGCAAAATTCTCAGATGACCAATTCATTAAGGAATTCTCTGGAACGCTCTACTTTCTAAGGACAGTCTGGCCACGCCTTTGGACGAGGCCTGCGGCATTCACACCAGAGCACAGGGGGTGAGCTCACACAGAATCAGAGAGCGTGAAGCTGTGGGTTAAGAGTAAAAGTGCACATCTGAAGCAAAAGAGAAAAACCACCCCACCCCCCCCACCCCCCGCCGCGGCAAACCAGAGGCGCCTGGTCTGAGACTAAACTCTTCGCTTTCGTGAGCTCCGTTAGCCTCAGGCCAGCGCTCTGGGGCAGCTTCTGCAACACTCCCATTTTAACAGAGGGGCAGCCCGAGGGAACCTTCCCTTGCACCCTAAGGTTTACTCACCTGGAGCTTCCTTTTCTTTCTGGAGAGGCTCCCCGTCCAGTCGCTGATGCGGCGCATGCGGGCTTTGAGCGTGTCCTTCTTGGAAGCGTCCTCGGTCAAGGCCTTGGACTTGCGGCAGGGGAGGGTGAAGGACGAGTACGGGCCGGGGTCCCTGCGCTCCACCCGGGACGGCACGTCCATGTCCGAGGCGAAGGACACGCGGTGGCTGAGGCTGGCGTGCGCACCCACAAACTCGTCCGACAGCCGCAGGCCCGAGGGCGCCGGGCTGGGGTCAGGGTAGAGCTCCCGGAGCGAGGACAGGGACGAGCTTTGGTTGAACGGCTTTGGGGGCCCGGGCGGCGGGAAGTCGGCGCAGAGGCGGGGGGCGGGCGCGCCGGGCACCGGGAGGGAGCCCTCGGCCTCGCTGGCCTCGCTGGCCTCGCCCGTGGGGCCCCAGGGGGAGTCGTACCAGGACGACTCGGAGCTCAGGGAGCTGCCCTTGCTGGAGCGCGGGCGCGAGTCCGGGGGCGAGTCGGGCCCAGGGCCCAAGGTGGGCGAGTAGCGCAGCAGCCGCACCGGGCCGCCCGCGTCCCCCGGGGGCCCTCCGCCCTGCTGGCCGCCGCTGTGGAACTCGACCCGCAGACAGCCGTCCAGCCTCCCCAGCGTCTTGATGAGCACCCTGGGGCTCTTGCGGTCCTCGTTGCACGGCCTGGCTGCCACGCTCTCGTCCCTCCCGTAGCAGTTGAGGAGGTGTCCATTGCAGTCCCTCGAGGCCACGTGGGCGTCCGGCCGCTCATGGCTGACGTAGTGGAAGCCGTTCCCCGCAGAGAAGGCCGCGCTGCGGCTCTGGAAATCATTTCCTGAGGCGTCAGTCCTGTGCTTGGCGTAGGCACTGCTTTTGGGGACTTTGCATGTGGGTCCGCCCAGTCGGGATGCATAAGGCTGATTGCTCTTAAAGTGAGAAAGGCAGGTTCGGGCCAGGGACCTGGACTTGTAACCCGCTCCGCTGCTTCCGTGACCCCATCCGTGCAGTGACTTGTCATCTTTCGCATGAATGCTGCGTATCTTCAGGGAGCAAGGCTTTTGCTTAGCACCAGTAATAGTATTGCTATGATTTTTAGATCCTTGAAGGGTGTACTGACTCTCGGAGTTCCCCATTTTAACCTAAATTAAGAACAGTAGCATCAGTAAGAAACATGACCTAAGTTAATTCCATTATGACAGAATTGTCTAAAAAACAAAAAAGAAGAAAAAAAAGTTCCACACATTACAAAAGAACCAAGCAACTTTTTTTTTTTTCCCCCTGTGCCTCACACAACTCAGAAGTAGGGACAAAAGCTACCTACTGAACTGGTTCTCTTCGGGCCACGCAGGTCATCATCCAAATAGACGATATTGCATGCCTGTGTGCTAGTTGCGTTAAACACATAATTTGTTGTAGGATATTAATTCAGACACTGAATAGGCATAAAGATCAGCTTAAGGCAGAGACCTCCTTTAGGCTTGGTGCTGAGAGGTTCTGAATGACCCTTGAACAGAAACATGAGGGGAAAGCATCTTTGCTCTGGTACTCCGATATGCTGATTCTTCAGTGATCAGAGTGATTCCCATTATACACAAACTACTAGAAGAGCAAATACCACACCCCAATAGAAGAGACTACTGCCCATTTTTAATAACACAAGTTCAGATACCACACTCTGTTGGAGCTTGACATATCACATAGAGTAGGAACACCACAAAAGGAGTCCCCCAAAACTAGGCTGAGATAAAAACAGGGGTAGGGTAGAGAATAAAAGCTCTCATGTGGGGCAGAAAAACATTTTAATAAAACTAATCTCTAGTGCTTCTCTAAAGCCTTTGAGGGTCCTCATTTTGGAACATGATGAGGAAAAAAGTTGGAAGCTGACTTATCAGAATGTGGATGTCTGAAAAAACTTTAGATTCTATTCATTCTCTGTAAAATCCCAATGTGTTCAATGAGTCTGTTAGTTAAGCCAAACACGCAAGTCGAAATTTGAGCCAAACCTTCCCCCTCCCTTTTTCACTCTAACCAGCAGATCACTATTTGAGGCAAGTTAGAGGTCATGTTTCCAGTTCCACTTCAAAATATATTTAGGTTTTTAATTTTACTTCTTTTAGAGTGTACAGCCACAAAACAAGTCAAATGGATTGACTTTTCTTTGGTGGGAGTTAGCAAACACATTTTAAAACAAATATAACCAGATCGAACAATTAAACTTACTACCTTGATCACAGTTGTACCCCTTGAAGTGAACCACAACTCATGTGAGCTGGCTTTACCTGAAGTTCTAGTCTGTGCGCCGAGGGAGATTAACAGTCAGTAGGCTTTACGGGGTCCTAGAACAAGGCAGCATGGTTAACAAGTATGGCAAGTGAGTCCATGAAATGATCCTGAAAAACAGAAATACCAGAAAACTGTCAAGCGTTTTACACCAAGCTCCCAAAACGTAAAAACAAAGGTCTCATGTAAATTATATGAAGAAACCACCAGTGTCCAGAATCAGTGTCAGGATAATAAATGAAATGTCTGTGAACTGCTTGATTCATCAGAGGTGTTGGAAGATATAAAGGAAGCTAGAACTGCCCATCCAATCTTGTAAAGGCCATTAACTCAACACACGCTCTGTAGGCAAATGCGTGTCTTTGTTTCAGGGGAGGGCAGGTGACGGCGCTGGCATGAGTCACACGGCTCATCTGTCACCACCATTAGGAAAAACAACTTGCAGACTCTGCACGCTGACAGGACGGCAGGAGCATCATCCTGACAGGACAACCGTGCATTGTTCTCTGACTCAGCAGTAGAAACAAAATGTAGAATCGCAGTGAAACAGTCCTTGGACAAAGTAACTTCCCTTATAGAGGTTGACGCCCTAAAGAAGATTAAAAGTTCCTCTCCAGCATATGTTTGGGCTTTTCTGCACAAGAGGCAGGAGCAGGAGACCCACCTTGGGAGGGTGGGATGACAGGCTGGGGGTGCTGCCATCTGGCGGTGTTCACTCCTGAACACAAAGCCTCAATGTTCTCCCCAGACGGAGTGGAGCAGTGGGGGTTCAATTGTGACTTTTTTTTCCCGTTCAAAAGAAAAAATTATTTGTGTTAAAATACACATCGCGTAAAACTGACCATCTTCACTATATTATAGTGCACAGTTCGTCGTGTTAAGTACATTCGTATGGTTATGTAGTCCGTCTCCAGAACTCTTACCTCACAAAACTAAATCTTCCCACCCCCCTCCCCGGAGCCCTGGCACCCGCCATTCTATTTTCCGTCTCCATGAATTTGATACTCGAGGTAGCTCATGTAACTAGAATCACACAACGTTTGTCTTTTTGTGATGGGCCTACTTCCCTCAGTAGAATGACTTCAAAGCTCGTCCATGTTGCAGCTTATGTCAGAATTTCCTTCCTTTACAAAGCTGAGGCATATTCCATTGCATGTCTAACACCCCATTTTGTTCATCTACTTATCCATCAGTGGACACTCAGACTGCTTTCCACCTGCTGGCCGCTGTGAATGATGCTGCTATAAACACAGGTATACAAACCTCTCTCTGAGACCCTGCTTTCAGTCCTTTGGGGTATACACCCAGAACCGGAACTGCTGGCTCCTATGGTAATTCTATGTTTAATTTTTTACGAACCACCGTACTGGTTTCCATAGAAGCTGCACCACTGTATTACCACCACCAACAGCGTGCAGGATTCCTAGTTCTCCACACTCTTACCAGCACATGTCGTTGTCTGGGTGTTTGACAGCGGCCGTCGACACGTAGGCCAGGACACCTACTGCAGCTGCAATGTGCACTTTCTCTAATGACTAGTGATGCTGACCATCCTTTTATGTGCTTGCTGGCTATTTGTACAGCTTCTTTGGAGGGTTATTTAATGAAGCACCGGCCCTAAGTTTCTCCCAATAAGGCCAAAGGCACAAGTCTGCCTGAGACTACTGTCTACTCTCACATGTATATTTTAAATTGGGGGGCAGGGGGGATGTCAAAAGATCTTTCACTTTGGCAGTAGCAGGAGGGTCTACGAGCGTCTCACTCACGGGGCCTGAAATGGCACCTGCTACGCTACCGACCACTTCTCGTTCGGTGGGCACTCACACACATATCTAAAAGAGGGAATAGCCGCTGGGTGAGACGTCGCTAAAACATGGCCCCCGTGACCACTCTGACCCCGGAGGTGGATCACAAGAACCCCACCTTTTTTTCTTAGAAAGGGGGAGGGACAGAGGGAGAAGGAGAGAGAAAATCCTAAGCAGGCTCCACGCTCCGGACAGAGCCCAACACGGGGCTCCACCTAACGACCCCGAGATCATGACCTGAGCCAAAATCAAGAGTCAGACACGTAACCGACTGAGCCACTCAGGTGCCCCAAGAACCCCACCTTTTAGAAGTTCAAACTCTAGGGCGCCTGAGTGGCTCAGTTGGTTAAGGGTCTGCCTTCGGCTCAGGTCACGATCCTGGGGTCCTGGGATTGAGCCCCGCATCGGGCTGCCTGCTTCTCCCTCTGCCTGTCCCCCTGCCTGCCTGTGTGCATGCTCTCTCACTCTAATAAATGAAATCTATATAAAAAAAATTTAAAAATAAAAGCTCAAAATCTGAGTTGTATTTTCTCTGCTACATCTTAACTTAAGGAACTCGAAGTGGCCAGAGTCACTCCTGGCGGCTGCCACGGAAACCTCTCCCATGAACTGATTGCAAGGAGCCTCTGTGCTTGTTTACTTTGCTCAAGACCAAGGTCCGGTGATGACCCCAAAGGTGAAAGGCTCCAGGGTCACTCACCCACAGCCGCCTGCTTTGTGAGGCCCCTGTGATCTGAAGGCCACACGCCCAAAGACCAGCACACCTGGCGCTCGCACCAAGCTCTCCAACATCACTGGCACTGGCAGGACCACTGCGAGGCCCCCTTTGTCAACGGCTCAAGGACGCACAAAGACCAGGATTCAAAGCCACAGAATGGCTCCAGGGTGAAGCTCAGTCCCCAGCAGCAGATTATAACCCCAACTCTTCTTACTACTTTTGAAATCAAGCAGCTTAACTTTCCTGTCATATTTCAAAAACATAGCCCTGGACCCTGTCCCTTTCAAGACACTGTCCACCCAAGGCCTGCAAATTTGGGGCTCATTCAGTACACACCTGTTGAACTAAATGAACCAACTTCGCATGGTAGAAGGTTGACTCGACCACAGACTGAGAGCAGGAATCATTCCCAGCTGGGTCTGGCCAAAAGACCGACATATATGCCCACGAGGACATGTCTCAATCATTAACACAACACTCCTTAGGGAAAAGCAGACGGGGGATGACAGAGGTGGAGAGCAACGTGCACTGTTGCCTATGGGAGTGCCTACCAGCCGTTCCAACATCTCCAGCCAACTGGACAGATATTATTGGTCATGCTTCAGCTGTGATTTTTGTCTGGAAAAAAAGAGAATAAATAGGCCAAGTGTTCAGCACCCCTGACTCCTTTACTAAGGGAATTTTATGGTAGTTAAAAACTTTTTTGTTGATAGAGAGGGGGCTGAAAATACTGAAACAACAGATTCCCTGTGAACTTTTTTTAAGAAGAGAAGACATAGTTCAAAGCCGCCAGTGTCTTTAAGTAGAAAAAAATACATATTCGGTACACTAACCTGTAATAATCCATAATAGGAATGCTACCGTGTAGTAACACATATTAGGTAAGCTAACGGACAACTGATGTTACTAAGGTATGCAAATATGCATCCAGACCCACAGCTGACAAGAGAATTTAGTGAAGTCATTCTGGATAAATGATACGCTGCAAAGATTGTATGTACTGAACAAATACCGCATGTTGCATAAACACTTTTTTATAATAATTCTTTTATTTATTGAATAAAATATCACAATTTTTTTAAAAATGGACGACAGTCTCATGAACCTAGTCCTTATCTTTTGTTTTTTGCACTCCCTTCCATTTCCCAATTATATAAATGTGCTATGTAGCTTTTTAAGCTAAAATCACAAATAAGAATGATGTTTGTTCTCGTTAAAACTGTAATCAATGGGGGCGCCTGGGCGGCTCAGTCGTTAAGCGTCTGCCTTCGGCTCAGGTCGTGATCCCAGGGTCCTGGGATCGAGCCCCGCATCGGGCTCCCTGCTCAGCGGGAAG